GTCGCTGCTGCCTCCTTTTATGACAGGGGTTCGAATATGCTGGCAGAGTGTAAGGCACTTTTGGAGGGTATTAAGATGTTTTTGCGTCATGATTTAATGAATTATCAACTTCTTATTGAATCAGATTCACAAGTGCTTGTTGGAATGGTATTGGGGAAGGTCAAGGTTCCTTGGAAATGTAAACAGTTTATTGATGATATTTGTGGAATTTTGCATAGATTTAATATCAAGGTTAGTCACATTTTCAGGGAAGCTAACGGTCTTGCAGATTTTCTGGCTTCTTATGCTGTCAATGAAGCTTGCTGTTTTGAATTTTTGGGTACTGATTCATTGCCTATAGCTGGGAAGATGAGGTTGCATCATGATCAACCTTCGTTGTCTACATTGAGATGAAAAATGATCTGGTTGATAGCACTTGCAGGCAGCTTGATACTGTTGACGTGCGCTTGAATGGAGACAGGAGCAGTTGCCTGTTCTGCGCACTGGGTGTGCTCTGATAAATGATGATCATGGTTAATAGCTGTTGGTTGGGCTGGTTCTGGGGTCCTTTGCTTTGGGCTGGTTCATGTTGCTGGGGTCTCCTGCGCCCTGCTGGTTTTGGGCTGTTCACGTGCACTGTTCATGTGCACAGCTTGTTTAATGCAGCTGCTGGCCCTCACTCTTCGGTTATCTTCTATCTTCAGCTGGGTTTTGATGGCCTTTTACCTGGTTTTTCAGCTGGTCTCCCTCAGCTGTCTTTTCTTATGGTGTCTGCTGGTTCTTGGTCTGCTGCCTGGCCTTCATTGCAGGCTGCCACAGTAGCTGAGCACTGTTCACACAACCGTTCACGTGAACTGCCTGGCTCCTGCTACAGCTGTTTTTCTGCCGTGATCATGCTGCCTTCCCAGCTGGTTTCAGCTTCTCATGGATTTGCGTCTGTCAGCTGGTTATGGATCTCTTTCAGCTGCTGCTCTGAACTTCTAGTTATCTGGTAGAAATTTGATATCTTTATTTCCGTCTCAGCAAATTCTTTTTTTTCCACAAGGGATCGTGATGTCTTTCTATGGGATCGCCGGTCTTTTTATTAGCTCCTATTTGTGGTGCACAATTTCGTGGAATGTAGGTAGTGGTTATGATCGCTTCGATAGAAAAGAAGGAATAGTGTGTATTTTTCGTTGGGATTTCCTGGAAAAATCGTCGCATCTTCCTCCGATTCCTTATAAAAGATATTCAGTCTGTCAGAATAGAAGTTAAAGAGGGTATTTATGCTCGTCGTGTCCTTTATATGGACATCAGAGGCCAGGGGGCATCCCCTTGACTCGTACTGATGAGAATTTTACTCCACGAGAAATTGAGCAAAAAGCTGCTGAATTAGCATATTTCTTGCGTGTCCCCAATTGAAGTATTTTGAGAAATGAAAATGAACTGAAGAATGAATGCTTTTTCAGCAGGAGGGAAAAACTCAAGAATCCTCTTTTTTCTATAACATAACTTAAACTTAACTGAACTTTCTTCAAAACGCTCATTCGAACCAAAGAGACATATACGGAACAACCATAAAACGAAACTCTTTTTGTGATCTTTTATACGTATCGAAATCCACACAACTCAATTCAATAAAATAAAAAAATACGTAACAAATCAAAATAATAGATTCATTTCATATATCAAACCATTTAGAAATAAAGAAATTTTTCTTTTTTTGAAGTCCAATATGTGTTTGTTGGAATTGATACTTTAGATTCAGATAGATCATATCTTGTAAATTATTTCTTTTTTGTCAATCGACCTTTCTTTTTAGACTTTCTTTTATGCTCAACAATTGGCTCTCTTCTAACGATAACTAGCAAATTTCTGTCTTGTGTTTTGCCACTCATTTTTGATCATCATAATATTCTCAGAAATTTCCTCAATATTCTATTCCTGACTACTCTAGTAATGAAATTTTGCGAAATATTGGATATTTTTGATAGAATGATAGAAAAGGAGTTCTTTCGTATCAAAATCTGAATAATATTCATTACTAAAAAAAAAAAAA